CCCACAGAATGGAAGGGGCTCAAGGCAGTTGTCTCAGAGCCACTCACAGCCATGGAACAACTCGAGAGATCCAGAGTCACCCTTGGTCCTGTCTGGAAGGATGGGAACCAGCTCTTGGCTCCTACATCCCCAGAGCAGCCTCAGGAGACCCGGGTGCAGGGGAGGTGCCCGGGAGGTGGAGATCACAGAATCACTGGAGTTGGAAGGGACCTCTAGAGATCATCTGGTCCAACTCGCCCACTGAAGTAGGACCCCCTAGAGCACTTTACAGAGGGCTGCATCCAGGGGGGTCTGGAATATCCAGAGATGGAGACTCCACAGGCTCCCTGGGCCGCCTGTCCCAGGGCTCTGCCACCCTCGCCACGCAGAACTTTTTCCTCATATTTCAGTGGAACTTCCCATGTTCCAACTTGTACCTGTTGCCCCTCATTCTCACACTGGGAACTACTGAGAAGAGCCTGTCTCTCACACAGGCACATACACTGGGATCCATGGGGAGCAGGAGCTACAGCCACGAGGGGTGAGCCCAGAGCAGGGAAGGAGCTGCGGGCACACACGGGTACGGCTCTCGTGTGCCTCTGGGAAGGGAGAGCTGATGAGCTGCTGGGGCAGCCCCAGCCATCTCCAGGGGGTTCTACCCTTCACTCACATCACTGGTGGGCTCCCTCTGTCTGTCTGAACACACGGGGATCAAGTGTTCCAGGGGAGAGAGGGCTGTTGGACACCTCCCTGCCACCTGCAGCTGCCCCAGGGGAGGCTGTGCAGGAGACAGCGACTCTTGGAGGCACAGAGGGATGGGACAAGAGGCAACAGACACAAACTGAAGCACAAGAAATGATCATGAGAGACCATTTTTCACCCTGGAAACAAAGCCTGGCCCAAAGGGGTTGTGTGACTTCCAACCCTGGACACATGCAAAGCAACCTGATCTAGCTGGTCCTGCTCTGGGCAACCAGGTGTGCTAGGAACCTTCAGACATCCCTTCCAACCTAAACTATTCTCTAATTCCATGCACAGATGTACTTGGCCAGTCAAAGCAGCTAAGGGCCCAGAAATCCCTGCTGAGGGACTGCATGATTTCCCTCTCTCCTAAGGGCAGGCCCATCCAGATGGCTCCTGAGTCCTCCTGCTCTAATCTCCCTCCCTGGCCAACTAATCCCTGTGATTGAATAATAAAAAATAAATCCGAAATTGTCTATTGCTCCCAATTCTTCTCCTCCCCAGCTGTGCCATGTGGAATGTGGGCTCTTAATTTTATAGAATGAATTTTGAATCACTTTAATCTCTTCCTTTAACATAGTTCATCAGAGAAGTCAATTCCCCTGTGATTGCCTCTTCCTGGTAAGAAGGAGCTCAGACTCCTCATTTGCCTTTCAGACCAGATGAGGTTTGCTGAGCCCTGTCCTGCTCCCCTCATCCTCAGAGGTCTGGGGACAGCTGTCATTGCCCCCTGGTGACCACGGGGCATCCCAGCACACCTTGACTCTGACCCTAGAGCAGCCTTGTGCTCTCTCCTTCCTTTAAGTGCAGTTGTGTTTTGAAGTGGTCCCCATGTGAGGTGGGGAACCTGTCCCAGAACAGCTCTGTGATATTGCAGTTTGGGAACCATCCCCCAGAGCCTGATGGAGGCTACAGCCTGGTCTCTTCCCACCTTCTCAGTTACACCTCTCCACATATTCATAGCTTTATTTTCACCTTACTAAGCCAAAAAAAGAGTAAATTACAGACCCCACCCCAACTGGTGATTCAGATGGGGAAGCTGCTCCCTGCTCAGGGCACCCATTCAAACCTGCAACTACTTCAAAGGCTTTTCCTGAAATCTAAAGTCACTTGTGTGTAGTTTTCTCAAGTACTTTTAAGCTGTTCCTCAAACATTGTCATTATGTTAATTTTCTCCCACATCTGAGACCTCCAGTGAAGTCAGAGATGATGGAATAAGCATCCTCCTGCAACCCATGTTGATGGATCTGCTGCAGTGATCTCAGCCCCTCAGTCAGTTAATTTCTGCTCTCAAGGAATCTATTGGCTCCAACATTTCCTATTTCTTAAAATGGGAAAAAAACCCAACCATTTCTTTTATCCTGCTTATTAAGGAGATGCTAAACCCACCCTGTGAATCCTCATCCCACACTCCTGACCACCACCCCACATCCACGAGCTACCTGCTATGGAGCCCAAGCTCCAGGTCCATCCCATGAGGCTGACCAAGGCAGCCCGGTGGCTCCAGCCCCTCTGCCCAGTCCCATGATGCCAGCCTGGACACCAATACCCTCTGCTGCTTCAGCAAGAGCCACCCTGTGACCTCCAGCAAACATAGCAGAGAAGCTTCCACTGACATGGTGCTTCTGCAGCCTACTGGGGCCTCTGGTGGGATGTCTGGCTGGTGGGGAGGCTGGTGACCCCTTCCCCTGCACAGGGAGCCTGGGGAGGCTCAGAGCAGCCTCTGAAGGAATGACCAGCACATAAACAGGCCTTCAGGAACTTCTTTCTCATTTCCAATCACCACACTGTGTTTTGACAAAGCAGGAGAAGAAGACACAGTACCTGCTGCTCAGTCTCACCATCTCCTCCAAAGCCAAGCTCAGCTCCTGCTCCATTTCAGGAGAGTGAAACACTTGAGTCACATGTCCACGGGCAAATTAACAGGGTAATGATCCATCAGAGGCTGTTAAATACAGGGACCACGGATCCCCCCTTCATAAATCCAGGCTGGCTACCCCCAGTCACCATCTTGTCCTTCATCTGTTTGGAAACCATTTCCAGGGTTAGTTCCTCCAGCACCTTCCCAGAGATCAAGATGAGACTGACCTGCCTGGACCTCCCCACAGTGCAGCCCAGGCTCCTGTTGTCCTGTTGCCAGTCCTGTGACAGGCAGGTCCCCAGACCACAGCTGGGCTCTTCAGATTCAGAAGCCAGCAAATGACTTTCCCTCCTTGGGTTTTTCCCATGGCTTTTCCAAACCTGTGTCAGTTTGTAGGACTCAGCGTGGCACTCGGCACGGAGCTGCACGGGGTCACTGTACCTCAGGAGGAGAACCTCCTCCTGTTGGCTCTTGTTTGAAGACACGTAGACATGGCACGTAGGGACATGGTTTAGTGATGGACTTGGCAGTGTCAGGTTCATGGCTGGACTCTGTGATCTTGCAGGTCTTTTCCAACCTAAATGACTCTGACATTCAGCTGCTCATGTTCTTGCATGGGAAGAGACTGGCAGGGGTCAGCTCCCCCTGGGTCACTGGTTCCATATCCCACATCCATGGACTTCTGCCAAACCCCTTCTCCTTCGTCATCATTTTCCAAGCTTGAGAGTTTCAGTCTCCCTAGTCTCACCTCTTAGGGAAGAAGTTTCACAGTTCTGGGCACCTGTTTGTTTTCCCTGACAACTTTTCAGGTATGACTTTTTAGGTCTGAAAGACCAGAGCTGCTTGCAGGTTTCACCATGTTGGTGAAGTATAGATCTACACAAATACATTCATCATTATGTTTTCTGTTTTGTTCTGTTTTCCTTTTGTAAGAATTAAAAAAATTCAATTATTGTTTCAGGTCTGGACTGGAATCAAAGCAAATCCCCAGATCTTGTTCCTGAGCAGGTCAGTCCAGCACCTTCACTGAACATGGAACTGCTGCTGCTTTTTCCCATATCCATGACTTCCTGCTTTTCTGTCTGAGTGTTCAGCTGCTGTTGGACCACCCAGTGCCACCAGTGACTCCTTTCACCACTGCTTCAGTTCTGTTTTCTGCCCCACTCTGTTTCAAATGTCTTGGTGCTAAAGAGGATGTTTCCACTGTGATGTCACAGTGACATCAGATCTTCATTCCTAACCAATTATGAAGACCTGAAAAATGTTTAATGGGCAAGGGTACCTCAGGGTGCTTCTTCTGGGGTGTGTTACCTTCTGTGTGCCAAGACAGATTCATTTCACTATTTCATTAATTATTTCATTACCTTTGAGACCAAGAGCAACCAAGGACTCCAGTGCAGCCCTTCTGGGGGCTCCCTGAAGCATTTGGCCACAGTGGGATTGGACCATGTTCACCCTCTGATTTTCTTTTTTACTTTTTTCTGAGTCATAGAAGCCTCTTCTCTTTTGCCTCACGATCAGTTAAGAACACAAACAGCCCCGAAGAAACTTGCCATGGGATTTTTGCAAATCAAAACAAACTTTGGACACTGCTTTGAGTAAGAAGTGCTCAGACCCATGGAGACAGATGTGGGATAAGCAGCTCAGTAAGCCAGAACATATTCCCTGCCTTGTTGTGAGCTCCAAGGCTTGAGGATAACTTAGTTTTTGTATCATGACTCCTCCCAGTTTGCTCCTGTCAGGCCACCAGCAGCAATGCCCACCCCTGGCTGGGGGCCCAGCAATTCCGAAGAGCCCTGAACCTCAGGCCAGCAGAGAGGGCAACCCATGGAGCAACCCCACCTTCACCCCTCCAACACAGGACCCCAGTGCCCAAAGCCTGGATCTGACCACCAGACCCATTCCCACAGCCTGGCCTCCTTCCAACGTGTCCACCAGCCACAAACCAGCCACGTCACCCCTGCTTTCACAACTGATTCCTACAGTCTGGCCCTCTTGCCCAGGGCTGGTCTCACGCTGAGCTGAGCAGGCTCCACTGCCCTGTACCAGAGCCCTGGTGCAGTCCAGGCAGCACAGGGACAACTCCTCCACACCATCCCCTGCACACCAGCATCCTCCTCTTCTCCCCTCCAGAGCAAAGCTACAACTCTGCATCTGCATCCAGTATGTTCCTCACTTCCCAGAGCTCCCAAAGAACTCAGCAGAACGTTTGTCCCCCAGCTGAGACACGAGCCAGCCTGCCCTGCAGCTTCTGTTTTAGTCACCTAAGCCTTCCCTAGAACTTCATTTAAACTGTAACTCAAATGATCAAAACAACCAGAAAAGTTTCTTTCCCATGAAATTGAACCAGCATGTTCTGCTGTGTCGGGGAGAAGAGACACTTCCTGCAGGGCCTGGCAGAGCCAGGGCTGGTGCTCACCTGTGAGAGGTGAAGTTGTCGTAGGAGCCCACAGTGTAGTGTCGGAAGAGACGCTTTGTTCTGTCTTCTCTGGTTTCTGCAAGAAAAAAGACACATCACAAAGCTGAGAGTTGAAGCGACACTTCCCTGGGCCTCCCCTTCCCCGTGCTGTGCAAACTGTGAGTCCTGCTGTCGTGCAAGCAAGTGACATCTGTGCGCAGACAGGAGCCAGTGTCACCCCCCACGTGTGCCGTGCACCCACGCCCACAAACAGCTCCTGTGAATGCAAGATCCCCTTGCTGGAAACTTCCAAACCACATCCAGTGTCATCAAGACTCCAAAGCAGAGCCCAGGGGGGCTCAGCACCACCAGGGCAAACTCGCTTCCCAGCCCAAGGCTGCAGCTGGATCCCAGGCCCTGTTCTCTCTGCACACACCAACCCCGTGCATCTCGGCGCAGAGGGACCCGTTCCCACCAAGGAGATGCCTGCAGTCCTGGTGAGCCTTCCTCCTCCCCAGGGACACCGAGTTCTCCAGGTGCACAGGAGCTGGGAGGGAGGGAAGCTGGGACCCTAGAGACGTGTCTGCTCCCTCGTGTCTCAGCCACCGCGCTGTCCCCAGCGCTTGGGCCAGTCAGGGCACTTCAGGCCCTGCCTGTCAGGTCACATCTCCCCTTAAGGTGAAACATCCCTCATTGTTCACTTGCCTGTCTCAGAAGTGTGAAAAAGCTGGAGAACCTGCCAGCCTGATTTTGGAAGCTGACAAGAAGGGAGATGGCAGGGCCCGTGGGCTGCTGCAGGAGGGCAGCCTGACGCGCGGCCACGGGGCAGGGATGCCACTGCAGACACCCAACATCTGGTCTGCAGCTCGTGGCTTAAGTGCAGACATGACAGGGAGATGGAAAAGCATTGAAGCTGCTGTTTTCCTGACAGAGAAGGGCCTTGCATCAAAGCACCAAACCTGACTTACCACATGCCCCAGGGACAGTGTGCAAGGCCCACCTGCCGGGAAAGCAGCTGGTACTTCATGTGAACCCAACGGAGCACCTTGCATCCAACCAACTCCTAGAATCACAGAATCCCAGACTGGTTTGGGTTGGAAGGGACCTTAGATCTTAGGAATAAATTCTGGGCTGTGAGGGTGGGGAGACCCTGGCCCAGGTTGCCCAGGGAAGCTGTGGCTGCCCCATCCCTGGCCGTGTTGAAGGGCAGGTTGGATGGGGCTTGGAGCAGCCTGGGCTGCTGGGAGGTGTCCCTGCCCATGCAGGGGTGGGACTGGATGGGCTTTGAGGTCCCTTCCCACCCAAACTCTTCCATGATTCTGTGATAATTTGTAAGTAAATGTATGAGCATGTGGGGTATGTGCTCAATAATTGGTTTTTAACCACAGGGCAGGTGATCCAAGCGGTGATCCCATGGGGCACAGGACATGCAGCATCCCAGAGATAACCATGGGTGCTCTGGTGATCCCCCTGGAAGGACGTGAGTGCACAAGAACTCCTATGGGCAGCAGGGACAGGAACACGGGGTGCCAGGTGAGGAACAGCCCCCCTTGCTGTGCCCAGCTCAGGAGCCTCCAGGGATGTCACCCTGCAGGAGCAGCCCCAGTCACTCGAAGTGCTGTCCCAGCCTCACACGTTTACCTAAACTGCAGGGAGATTTCTTGGAGCCTGCTGGAGCAGGGGGAGCCGATGGCTGCTTGTGGATCTTCTGATCAGGTGGTCGTCCATCGAGCCCTGTCCCTGCCATCCTGGGAGAAACTGCCTCAAAGAACCAAGGAATTAATCTTACTGGCCAAAAGACAAACTTCGCCACCGAACAGAGATGAGGGGACTGAAGAGCTGAGCCACATGCTCAGGGAGGGGAAGGAGGCAGCCTGTGGCCTGACTGTCCTCTCAGCTCCCTGCTGGGGAGCCCTGGCTCCCCTGGCAGCACACCCAGGGCAGGACACGGCCATGAGGAAGAGGAGTCCCCTGTGTTCCCAGGGAAGCCTCTGCTCCAACCCCCAGCCCCTTGCTCAGGGAACTGCAGCTGGGAATCACAGAACTGCTGGAGTTGGAAGGGGCCTCTAGAGATCATCTAGTCCAACTCTCCCACTGAAGTAGGATCTCCTAAAGCACTTCACACCAGGCTGTATCCAGGCAGGTTTTGAATATCTCCAGAGAAGGAGCTCTGGTTCTAAACCCTGTCCCCTGGCAGCAATCTGGTGGCACCACATCCTGTCCAGACAGACACCCCCTCCTCCTGTCCTGCTTCCCTGCTTGCTCCTGCCTTTGGGAAGTCGGGCTCCCCCGGCCCCTTTGCTTCCATCCCTTCTCCTTCCTCCTCTTCACCCTGCTCTGCCTCCTCCTCCTCCTCCCCTGCCTCCCTCCACGCACACATGGACACGTGCACCTCATCTGCAAACATCTCTGTGGGTTTCATTCCAGATAAAAGACCAGGGATTTGGCGATGGGAGCTGGATTTATGGGTTGTCCACAGCCCAAGGGCTCGTTCTCCTCCTGACTCCTAAATATAGCGGCGCGGTTAATGGAGCCGTCGCGGAGGCCCCGGGACCGCGGCTGATGGACGGAGAGGGGCAGGTTCCCTGGAGGCAGGTGTGCAGGGACAGGCTCTGTCTTTGGAGAAGCAGGAGCAAGAGGACACCAGGGCCCCCCGCTGTGCCCACAAGGTGGCAGGGGCTTGTCCATGCAGCAGCCCCAAAGGACAGGGAGGAACAGAGATCTGGGAACATGGAGCTCTGGGCTGGAAACCAGGAGCGCAGGGCACGGGCTGTGCCCGAGCTCCTCCCCACCCTGCCTGGGAAGAGCTTCAGTGCAGTTTGTAAAACATCTCTTTCTAGAAAGGCTGCCTAATACTTCAGGTAAAAACATAGGAATATGAACGTCCCACAGCCGGCCAAGAGCAGCCTGGACGTGCCAGAGAAGGTTCTGGGAGAGAAGCAGCTCTTAGGCAAACCCAGCAGACAGCCTGGCTGAGCCAGGGCAGAACGCCAGGAAGCCTGGGTACCATTCCATGCATCCTCCAGCACCCGCCTTGTCCCCAGCCCTTCCTCCCTCAGGCACCAGCACTGGGCTGCAAACTGAGACAGTAACTCCTTTGGAATATGAAAACATACCTCTTTGTTTCTAAAGTTTGTTGGAAGCACATTTCTAGATGCTACCTAGAATTTGTTTCTATTTAATCTCACTAAACACAATATTTACGCAACACTAGTTACTGGCAGTGAGTTCTTCTTCATCACCTATTTTTTGACCAACTGCCTCCCAAGCAGCCCAGTAACAGCAGGAGCTGCTGGAGGTGAGCAGGCAGAAGTGCCACCACCACCCAAGCCAAGGTTGGACCCTGCAGCCAAGGGGGCCCAACAAGCCCCCTCCCCACAGGCTGGGGCTGGCGCCGCAGCACAGGGGGAGGCACTGGCTCCACAGTCGCTGAGAACGAAGGTTGAAAAGAGAATCTGTCTCCTGGGTTGAAATGCCAAGAGCAGGACACACGAGTCAAAAAGGATGTTGTCTCTGCAAGAAGACTGAGGCCTGTATTTGTGCCTTCTCAAGCACATGGACACTTTGTGTGCCACTGCCCCTGAGGCTCCCAGGTGCCCTGTCTCACTGTGGGAACCCAACTTGTTTTGAGCTGCCTCATCACCCAGGGAGAGACACCACAAGGAGCTGGTGCTCTCAGTGAAGACAAGGGGTGTGTGGCCTCATCCTCTCACCACAGAGTCATAAAAGGGTTTGGGTTGGAGGGACCTTAAAGATCCCACAGTCCATGGGCAGGGACACCTCCCAGCAGCCCAGGCTGCTCCAAGCCCCATCCAACCTGCCCTTCAACCCCCCCAGGGATGGGGCAGCCACAGCTTCCCTGGGCAACCTGGGCCAGGCTCTCCCCACCCTCACAGCCCAGAATTTCTCCCTCCCATCTCAGCTCCAGCTCCCTCTGCCAGCTGGAAACCCTTCCCCCTGCTCCCATCCCTCCCTGCCCTTGTCCCAAGCCCCTCCCCCCTCCGGGGCCTCCTCTGGCCTCTCCAACAACTCCCTGTCCTTCCTGTGTTGGGGACCCCAGAGGTGGCCCCAGCCCTGCAGGGGGGTCTTAGCAGAGGGGGACAATCCCCTCCCTGGCCCTGCTGGCCATGCTGCTGGTGACAGCCCAGGACACGGGTGTTTTCTGGACCGGGATCCAAGGCTGCTCTGGGTGCCAAGGCAGAGCTGAGCTGCTCTGTGGGCACAGCCAGCACTGGGACCACAGCCAGAGGAACCCTCCAAGGCTGGAAGGGGCTCAGTGGGAGAGCCCTCGTGGTTCAGGACATCTGAGAACCTGTGTCTGAGCCCCGGAGGCAGCGAGACCCTGGGCCCTGCAGCCCCTGCCCTGCTGCCCACCTGGCCCAGCAGGACACTCTGCCCAGCCTGGATCCCACCCACGCGTCACACACCGCGCTCCAGCACCTGACTCGGGGTGGGCTGACGAGCAGATGCCACCACAATTAAAGCCTCTTCCAGGCTCCGTGCCAGGCAGCAAATCTGGCTGGAGCAGCCTTGGAGTGCTGGCCATGAAGAGAAAGGGAATCATTTCAGAAGCTGAACTGAGCTGGGGAGGGAGCAGTGCCTGAGCCTGGAGAGCAGGCGGGTGCTGCTGCACCCCGAGGAGCTGCAGCAGGTAGGACACTGGAGGGCATCACCTCAGCACCAGCCATGGGCACCACTGGCCACTGTCCCTGTCCCAGCCAGGCACGGCTCTGCCTGCTGCAGTCACAAGCCTGATTTCAGGTGGAAATGAGCAGGGAAACCCTGGCATTCCAACTCTTCCCCTTCCCAAGCAGCTTCCAGGAGAATGAACTCACTCATGTCCCTGCAGCTCCTGGATCTGCTGCCTGGAAACAAAGAAAGACCCCAGAAAGTATTTCCTTAATGACTGGTGGTGTCCCTGTGTGTTACACAGGATGGTTAACCCAGGGAAGCTTTGCCCAGGACTGGTCTTTACCCTTCCAAGTTCAAATACAACTTTTCTGTGGGAGTGAACACTTTCTGAAGCCTTGCTGCATTGTTCTTACTTTCACACCACAATTTCCATGACCCAGTTGATGAAACTTTGCCCTGTGTTAA